GGAAAGCTGACATGTTTATATTTCGCACAAATGACTTAATTGACATTGAATGATTTGATTATCTAGACTTAATTAACTTTTAGATAACTTTCGATTTAATGTTAATAAGTACGCTAGTAGGATTAATCTAGAGTAGTTATTGTTATTCGAAATTTTATACAATTGTACGTTCATACAATCTTTTAATAGAAAATTGTTTGTAATATAGGGAAATTAAATAGCTTACAGAGAATTACAGCTTTTTATTTTCAAAAACTGTTTTCTCTCTGTATGAAAAGATCTTATCGATTAGAATGCTGAACACAATCAAACATTCCTTAATATCTCATAAGTACTACCGGGAATTTCAGCGATTCTAAACGATAAGATTTTTTCATAAAGAGAGTTATTAAAAATATTAAAATTACTAAAAAAGCCACCTGGTGGGGGGTAGGGAGACTAATAATCGACCGTAGCGACGCCTGCTGGACCGGGCTTTAACTAAAGCAAAAATAAAAATGAGAGTTGCGCATCTATCTCTAATATATTAAGTGTATAATCTATGGTTCTATGTTTACAGCAAGACAGGCGTTTATTGTTTTGATGAAAAACATCAAGTAGGCAAAAGGTATTAGCCCATAAAAACTAATCTTTGGTAACAAAGGCCGAAACCAAATCAATTCTACGTAAAGTGAAATGAATGAGCTGCGATAAAACAAAATCACGGGTGTTCATTTATATCAAATAGAATAGCCTCGCAGTGAAATGATAATAATTTACTAAAAGTTAGAAGTTTTGGAAGAAAATCCGAGAAGCTTTTCAATCTATTTTTTTTCATTGCCCACACACGTGCAGTTTCATTAACGCCATCGATAAGCAATCATTTATACACATTTAAATCTGGAGAAACACTAAACATCAAAATAAAACAACTTTGCTATTCGCATTCCCGCTAACAAGTCAATTTATTACTTTACTTATTGATCAAGCTTCTAGTTCAGTGTTAAGTTGTGGATAATTGCTTAAACAGCATAAACTGTTGATGAAATTATAATAACTATATTAAACAAACAAAAAAACGATGCAATAAATTGTAAAAAAATTTCTTTTTGCGGAAACACGAAAGGGACCCCAGAGAAAGTGCTTAAATTTAAAGACATTTATTTAAATATAAACACGTTTAAGATTAAAATCAATTAATATCCAAAATAAAAAATGGAACCTTATTAATCATAATTTTAATGAAATATACATGCTTAGGATGTAATTCTTTATCGCATGCAAAGGGAAAAAAAAAACATGCAACAAGGGGCTCAAAAGATTTTAACAAATACTATTCAACACAAGCGATCAACATAATCAAATTATGCGACTAAGTTTTTTTTTTTTCGTCACCAGTTTTTATCTTATTTGTTAAAATAACAACAGTGAATTTATTATAAAGGCGACTTTGATATGAGTGGAAAGATAATAAAAAACAATTGTGTAATCCCTTATCAGTTTAGTTGGCTTAGGAGTACAATCTTTAAATGCTTTATCATATTGTTGAACTATGTGTGTCAATTTATCATAGCGTTACACATTTGGTCACGGTCACTATGATAATTTTTTATTCAATTAGTAATTATTTAATTAACATTAATTTCAGTGATATCTGTTAGTAGTACAGTACTGGTTCTTTAGAATTTGTGTGTATATTATATGGGTCACTGGCAGGCATCTTATTAAAAAATAGCGATAGACGCAATACAAATTGTACCTAGAATATTTAGCCTATGGAACTATGTGCGACTTATATGATAGAAATCTACATGAGACCTAATGGACTTTGACCTTTGACCTGTGTTTTAGCCGTTGCGGTTTTGAAGTTTGACGTTGTCGAAGATGACATTCCGTAACACATAATAGGGTTACCATTTTAGTATAGTTTCTGGAATATTGTTTAAATCTTTATCGTAAAAAAATCATTTTTTATGATCCAGATTTTTACCGTTTTTCGCGGTTAATCAGATTTGAGAATTACTTTCGGGATCTCTTTTCATTAATCCTCGATTTGCTTAGAGATGAAAAAAAAATCGGTTGTCTGTAAAGTCGGTTTACTGACGATAGTTGAACGTGACAACGTCATAAGAAAATACTGATGGAATGGTTTCATTTTTCAAAAGAAATTTTTGAAAGAAAAGATGAAAGCACGAATGTTCGACAATATATCAATGAACATATATTTAATATCGAAAGAATTATTACCTTTATCGCCGCAATTATCGAACGCGAATATGTCGAACGCTGCCGAACGCGGAGGCCGATTGTGCCTCTCTGTCGCTCGTTACGCGCTCTCGCTTGCACTTCAAGCCTTAAATGGAACGCCTCAGAGCGAGGTAGCGCAGCATGAGTCATGTTTTTTCGTGCATGCAGCCGGCTCCATCGGATTATAAGACGTTGTCACGTCAAAAAATATTTGACAAGTCACAAAAACGTTTATGATGTTTTTGTATAGAAATGCATGAAAATCTAATGAAACAAAGTAAATTAATATGAAATTTTTTTGGGAAGAGGAAAGTAATTTCCGCACTAGTTTCCTAGTTTAAGTATTTTTGAGGTGTAAAAATATATTAATAACTATTTTATTTGTATCCGAAATATTTCTTTCCAGTCTAATAAAATGTTATACCTATCTAAAATGTTTGTTGTATCAAAAAAATCTTAGTTATTTCTTCGCAGCTTATGGCAACACTACAACTGTCAGTTCGCAAACTAAAGACAGACAGCTGTTCACTAAACCACTCAAGAATTTGTTGTTAATAAGTTTTTAGAATTTACTTTCCCTCAAATTAATTTGTTTATTCGAACGAATAAAGCGAACGAAAATGTCTGAAAAGAGCAGCCCAATTAAATATTTCCTGTGTGGTGGTTTCGGTGGTGTTTGTACCGTTCTTTCGGGCCATCCAATGGACACAATTAAAGTACGGTTGCAAACTATGCCCCTTCCAAAACCGGGCGAGGTCGCTCTGTACGCTGGCACCTGGGATTGTTTCAAGAAAACCGTTCAAAAGGAAGGCTTCCGCGGACTCTACAAGGGCATGTCTGCGCCTCTAACTGGAGTTGCGCCAATATTTGCCATCAGCTTCTTCGGTTTCGGTCTCGGTAAGAAACTCATAAAGAATGATGAAGAACAGGTCCTAACGAAAGCAGAACTTTTCGCCGCCGGAGCATTCTCTGGTATATTTACGACGTCCATAATGGCGCCCGGAGAACGTATCAAATGTTTATTACAAATACAACAGGGTGGTAATGTTCCTCAAAAATATAATGGTATGGTTGATTGTGCCAGGCAGCTATACGCAGAAGGAGGTATGCGTAGCATATACAAGGGAAGTGTTGCTACCGTATTGCGAGATGCACCAGCCAGTGGAATGTATTTCATGACGTACGAGTGGCTCAAAGAAAGGCTAATGCCTGAAGATGCTAGTGCTAAGCTTAAATTATTAGTTACCACCGTGGCTGGAGGCTGTGCAGGTATAGCTAACTGGCTGGTAGGCATGCCAGCCGATGTATTGAAGAGTAGACTGCAAACTGCACCTGAAGGTACATACCCAAATGGAATGAGAGATGTCTTCAAACAGCTCATGGAGAAGGAAGGCCCCACTGCACTGTATAAAGGAGTAACCCCTGTGATGATCAGAGCTTTCCCAGCAAATGCTGCTTGTTTTGTTGGTTTTGAGATGGCTGTGAAGTTCTTGGATTGGGTTGCACCAAACCTTTGATAAAGTAAAGTAATAGTAGCTAAATATTATAGAGAAATGTAAAGTAGTAGGTGTAAGGTTGTAGTAGAATAAGCCAATGATATCACAAACATTATTGTTCAAAATGCTGTAATACATTGCAGCAGATAAACATAAACAGGTTCTATACATTATATATTTACATACTCATATTTACATTTTGTATAAATTAAAAGAAACGAACATTAAACTATTTAAATATCAAAGTTCTCTTTGACTAGTTAATATGCAATACAATGTCATCAAATGATTTTTTATTATAAGTTGACAATCAATGGTACTATTTAATTAAATAATATTTAATTATTGTTTTGTGCCTTTGACCATGAATAAATGAATATATTTTTTTATCTTTTTTCTTAAATAGCTTAATTTGCAATAGCTTCTAAAATAACACTAAAAAAACTGGATCAGAACTAGTGAAATATAGAATTAATGGTGAGGCAAATTATTGGGATGAATGTGGCAAATGCTGTCATTATTTACTTGAACTAAAATCACTGTTTTCAATCATTATATAAAAACTGCCAAAAGGATGCTGTGATGGTATCTATTATACAACACAAGATATTTGACGGTGCCTGAATTTCTCTTGCAATATTTTAAAGATAAGCTGTCATATATAATAGTTCCAAACAACAACATTGGAACATTGATCAAATGAGCAATATCACCTGCTGGTGGAAGATCTTCCCTTCGTTGTAATCACCAAAATGCAAAATCAGATGACATACAGCAAAGCAATCTTGAGGCACAGCATTGCAATATTCAAATCTCAAGCATCAACCATGAATTAATTACCTCAAGCACTTGTGAAGGGATTTAATTGAAATGATAGCACCAAGTAATATTACAAGAGTAGTCGGTCAAAAAATTATGATGCAACCTTGGCTTGTAGGAGCTCAGACAGCAGATTTAGGTCCAGAAGCCATTGTACACTTTCTTTTTATATTAATAAGATATCTGCAATCTGCAAGAAATATATATGTGACAATAGATCACCAACAAAGGAGGGGTTCTACCAGAAGTGCAATGGCCATAAACTAGGATTCACACCTCCATTCGCACCTGTGTTATATTTTATTATATTGTACAAAAAAAAAAAACTACTGGATGATCCTTCAATGCCAAAAAAAATTTTTTTCTGTGTATTATAAATGGAAGAATATATACCTAAATTAGGCTTCCTTTTGTGGATATTCATTTTTAATTGAAATGCAATAGCTTCCATCTAGCAATTTAGTTTTATTCACATACTATTTTGTACTAGTTCCTTAAAAATCAGAGTCAAGATATTTAAAAATTAAAATTTTGAGGATGTTTAAAATGATACCTAAATTACCGATTGCAATTATGCCTGATATTACTGAAGCCTGTGAGCCTTGGTTAGTGCAGTTAAGATTAGGACAGATAAAATTAGTATAAATAAAACAACAAAAGCATTTTATCAATAAAATTCTCTTCTAAAATTTACTTCAAATTGTCTCTCAATGTGTTTTCTTTTCTTAGTCATTCTTTTATCAGTATCTTTCATACATTCATCTTTATTCTTCAATTTTATTTTACCTAGTCCAAGACCTTTTCGATCTTTCTTTTGCACAGTTTTGATTGGATATTTTTTACCAGAACCATCAGGGCCCAAGCCAGATTCCTTGTCCCAACCAACTTTTAACATGATTTGATAGCCCTTGTTAGAAGATGGTATTACATAATTCACAGGTAACTTTCTGTGTTTACTTGACATTATGTTATGGATTGTGGAAGACATATGTTCTTGTTTATCTTGGAATTCATTTCTACAAGTTTCACAAAAATATTTTTCTTTATCTTTTGTTCTCATTTTACTGTCTTCTACAGTTACATTTTGTATTTCAATACTGTTTCTATGTGTAACAAATATGCTAGCTAGTGAAAAGTTTTTGTTTTTTATGATTAAGCTTCTGGCAGAGTTCCCAGCTTTATCTCGGACATCTACATCTGCACCACGAGCTAGCAACTCCTGAACTGTTTCAACAGAATTCGCCTGACAAGCTATCATGAGTAAGCTCCATCCAAACTTGTCAATCTTATTTATCTTATCAGGATACCTATCTAATACTGCCTTTAAAGTGTTTACATCGTTGTTTTGTACCGTCAGAAACAGCTCTTTGTCCGATAAGCGCGGCTCTTTTACAGTCTTAGTTTTATTTACATGTTGTGATTGTGGTTTATCACGTAGTAGTTGTGAGGGGTCTTTCGCACCCTTGATTTCTTCAACATACAATCTCTTTGCTTCCTCTCCACTCAAGGCTTTGGAATTAAAATGTCGGTTTGCAGCTAGCGTAGTCGTTGGTCTGACAAAATTACTGTACATATTTATAACTGACGCAAACTTTGCAGTGCAACACAAAATCGTTTCTAAAATTATTAGAAATTTATATTTAATTTTATAAATCTTTAAGACATTTATATGCATAGACCTATATAATTTATATGACACCCACCATTTATCCTTTTACGTCACTGTCAATAAGTGAATTCTATGTCACTGTCTCATGCCTTTGACAGCTTGATTCCTCCACTAAACAGGCAAAAGTAACTTAAACTATAGAGTCAAATCATTTGTTTCAAAAGCTGAAGGGACTCTTTTGAAATGTAAAAAAAATTCTACAGAACATTAAATTAAATGAAACAAGATACACCGCCAGTGATAAGTAAGAAACTAAAAGACTTCTTAGTAAAATAGTGAACATCTATTTAAAGTTCAAGGGAGGGAACCTAAGAAACCATGTCAAGCGATTTTGTTTATTTCTGCACACTTTTGAAGTTTTTCATTTTTTTTATTGCTTAGGTGGGTGGACGAAGTCACGGCCCACCTGGTGTTAAATGGTTAACAGAGCCCATCGACATCTACAACGTAAATGCCACCACCCACCTTGAGATAAGAGTTCGAAGGTCTCAGCATAGTTACAACCGCTACCCTGCCCTTCAGACCAAAATGCATTACTGCTTCACGGCAGAAATAGGCAGGGTGGTGGTACCTGCACGAGGTCCTACCGCCAGTAATTACGCTAATTATCATTTTGCGGGTTTGGTTTTTATTACACTCGTGGAAGTCAATCGTGAACATTTGTTAAGTACATATTTCATTAGAAAAATTGGTACCCGCCGCGGCGCCAGCGGGATTCGAACACCGGTGCATCGCTCGATACGAATGCACCGGACGTCTTATCCTTTAGGCCACGACTATTCAAAACAATGTTATTATTATACAATGTAATTATTCAAAATTAGACTTTCAGAATGAAAAAAAATCTTTATAATTAATATAATGAATTGCTTGGATCACCACATCTTTGGCGAAGGCAAAAATTTGTAATTCTGCTTTAATCATTACGGGATAAGTCTTAGTGATTACCAGAGCCATTAGGCATTACAAACGTGAATGCAGTCATTCACTCTGAAACCAAGTTAAAGTCTCATTATTGGCTGTCCTACCTCTCAAGAGTTGATGGTTGACTGCTTTATGGCATAGGTACCAGTATTTATCTAAATCGTTTTTTTTTGTTACATGTTTATTAAACTTACTAGCGACCCGCCCTCGCTTCGCTTCGGAAACATTAAAACACACATGAAACAAAAAAAAAAAAATTAAAAAAAAGTAGCCTATGTTCATCAGGGACAATGTCGGCTTCTAATGGAAAAATAATTTTTCAAATCGGTCCAGTAGTTTCGGAGCCTATTCGAAACAAACAAACAAACGAATCTTTCCTCTTTATAATAAGATTAGTATAGATTATAAGTACCTTCATTGTAGAAATTATTTGTCTATATGTGCCTGCAGAATTTTACCAGTATAAATAGAAGTCTAACACCACTATCTATTGACAAGAATGCATTAGGTGTATAAAAAAATATAGGTTTTTGTCATGACTCTTATGCAGCTATAATTTTTTATTTATAATTTCTATAAATTTCCTTCTAAATGCAAAGGATGGTTTCTTAGAATTTTTTCGAGCATTATGAGGAATAATGTTTATCATATATTGGTGAAGTATTCAGAAGAAGTAAAAGACAAGAGTTTGAGACCAATTCATTGTTACATTCTCAAATAATTTCTAACATCAGCTGATCCACTGTAATGGACTATATAGAACCAATTGGTAATCAATTTTTTTATTAAAAGATATTAAAACTTAAAGCACATTAGACTTTAATAGGGTAACACACTTTTTAACATGTTGATGTCTATGTAGGTCACAGACCTACCTGGCACACTGAAGTCATTATATCAATTTCTGTTACTAAGTCTCGATTGCCTAACTTTGCCTTATTTTGTTTATTAATGTATGTTTTAGTCTTTTAGGTCTCTTAGAAATATACATTCTCAGTGTCTTCAGATTCATCTATCCCAAAGTCAACTTGATATTCCAGCATCTTAGTTAGAAGACGAAAGAGAGAAATGAACATAATTACTTCAGTAACACTAAATAAAGACAAAAAGTTCTATCTCTACTTGGTTTCACTGATAAAACTGATTAAGCAAAGTGTAAAGGTTCTGTTTATGTGTCAATCATAGTGTACACTGTACACTTAAAAAAGGGAAGAACTGGCTTTGAAAGAACAAATGGTGAAAATAATGTGTACAATATTGTTCTTTAAAAAAGTTTGATTCAAAACATATTACAGACTACTTTCAGATGTTGTGAGAGACTCAGAAACCCTGTTGTTTACTTAAAATTATTGTTTTATTTTTTACAAAATGCACTTTGATTCACATTACTTAGAAAGTTCTCTAGCAATATTTTTGAGAGCATCAGTTTGCTCCTTCATTAAATTCAATTTTTGTCTTAAATAATCCTTTTTAAAATTTAAATAGTCCTCTTTTAACTGTAATTTTCTGTCTTCAGAAACGGAAAACATATCACAACTAAAAAAACAACTGTTTGAATGTTTTGCACTGTTTTTGATAGCATTTTTAAGCTTTTTTATTTTGTTTCTAGATGATCTTGTAAAGACCTTTTCTTCAGGTAATGACTCTACCTCACTATATGAAGCTGTTGACTCGATATCATTACTAACACTTTCCGTTATATTCTCTTGTAATGTTACAAATTCAGTTTCTTCTTCCATGCAGTTCTCGGTCGTTGTTGCATTCTTTAGTCCTAGGGCATCTTTTTCAGCTTGCGATAGTACAATGAGTGAAGCCGGCAAATCTGTAGAATGTCGTTTTTTCGTTTTCGAACGAATGTCTTGCCAGGTCTGAAACAAATGCCAAGGTTAACTTTAGTTGCATTAAAGTTAAATATATGTGAACGATACAATTATGGTGGCTACAGGAATGACTGAGTGAGTTCATACTTTTTTCCACTGTCTCCAAGTTTTTTTAGCACCAGGTATGGCATTACATTCAACAGCTATGTTTTGCCAAAGCTTGTGAGCGTCGGTATAGCTAAAGCCTTGTCTGACCTTACACGACACTAGCTCGGGATATTTCGCTACCATTTCTATAAGTTTTTTCTTTTGTTTCGCTGTAGGATACACGCTTCGGTGACTGCGTCTCCCATCCATTATTGAATTGTCATTAAAATGTTTAAATGCACTTTTAATTTATAACGATAGTGTGAGTACAGTAGTGTTTTTTAGTTATTCAGTTATTCATTAATTTTGTTAACATTATAGTAATACTTTATTATCGGGAAACTGTAATTACTCCAAATATTTTTTTACATTGTAATTCATACAAATAACGATGAGTATTTTGGTAGGTGATAATACATAATACCTAAGTATGCCGAAATTTATTGAATGTTTGTTTCAACATAAATCATAATTTTATCCTAATGTCATTGGTCTCAAATATTTAGCGTATACTCTATGGTCATTGGTAGTTGGCATAGAGTTATTACGGTACCGGTAAAATAGGGTGATTAGGGATAAATTCCAACTTTACGAACAATTTTAAGATAGTTGTTTATGTACATAATGCTATATCAGGATCAAAACGATTGAGTCTTGGGGGTATCTTTGTTATCCAATTTAAAACTATGCAACTAGCCTTCCATTTTAAGCAAAAAAAGCAAAAATAAGTGTAATCCCTATTTACCCGGAAATTGTGGTTAATGGGGACGAAATTAGTGATAAAAAGAATTTTGCTAGGGTTGGCACTACTTAGTTTTAATAAATTAATTTATTTAGTTGCACCAACAAAGTGATCGTCAATAAAAAACATTGAAAAACTGACAAAAGTACATGACAAATGTCACCTCAATTATAGATGCAATCGACAGTGCATTGACAACAAAAAATAAAATAAAATTATAACTAAAACTTGATTACATTTAACTACTTATGATTAATTTGTATTTACTTGGGAAGTGATCCGCGACTAATTTTTCCTGTAAGTTGTGAAACAATTAGAAAAAACATCTATTTCATCACATATAATTAATTCAGCGCAATCGGACAACTTCGAATAAACATTGACGGAGACCGCGCTACCGTGGACATTATTCTAGTCCCAAAGGATTCTGTTTAAGGGAGAGTAAGCACCTAAATTTGAACGAGCGGGCTTTCTTTTAAACGGCATAAATTTCTTCGTTCTTCGTAAGAATGTATTTAGGGGCTGATATTTTTATCAGGGTTAAGAGATTAAGTGTGTCGGTTATTCCATGGATTAATCAAGTGGATACCCCCACTCTGAACAAATATTAATATATTTTATTATGTATTACTTAGAAATTTTTGGCCACCTTGAGATTTCATTGTTCTTGTTACATGTCTGTGCAAAACCGACTTACTTATAATAAATTGCTTAGCTATTTCAACTAAAGACTTATTCCCAATTTCATAGGCTTCTATTGCTGTTTTTAATATTAAGGGATCATATCTCTTATAAGGTTTTGCACTCTTTGATATGTACATGCGAGGCATATCTAAAAATAAAAAACAATACGTAACTGATAATATAAATATTTACCAAATAATAAAATAACACATTGATAATTTTGAATAAAAGTTCTAGACAAAAACATCATGAATAAACCAGATTTTTACCAACAAATTTAAAAAATATTGCTATAACTACATAGGCGACCCTACAAACCTGTACCTATTTATACTTAGGTCGTTTCCGTTTCTCTTATTCTCATCCCAATTGACCCCTATATCGTTGTTATTTGTACCTAAGACGTCCCCAATATCCCCAAAAACAACAGATTTTTACATGTATTTTTATTTTATCAAATACATTAAATCCAATAACAACTGAGACTTACCTTTAATATATATGATGGTTCAAACACTAAATAACGTTTATAAATCAAAGTCGTCTTCTATTATTATCAAATAAATAAAAGAGAGCAAAGTTTCTAGCACTAAAATAATGACCACCACAGGAAGTTAATTTGAAACGCGATTTTTTATAAGTTAGCAGCTATTATCATGCATATTCAGAGTTGTTTTGTAAACTTTCAACATTCTACTATTAAACTACAAAAAATGGAAGATTTTGCAACGAATATAAAACTAATATTGAGCGTCGAAAGAGTTTCCTGTTTTTTTCCCCAATTCGCCTCTCAATCCCTAATCGCCCCATTTTACGGTATTTGATATGTGTATTATCTATGGTTCATAGAAAAAGCCCTTATCTGTTAAAACAATCTATGTTAACAGTATCATACAGCCTTATCTTTTATAAATTTTTTTATGAAAAATTATTGAAGTTATATTATGAAATGAAGTTTATTAATTTGAATCATTAATTAATTGGCATAGCATGAAATGAAATGAAATGAAATGAGATGAGATGATGATGAAATATAGTCTCAGTAAAATGGTGGTTATTTACTGACACTTTTTCAGTGGACTACGCCCAGCGGCTTTATTTCATTTCCCCACATTTGTGCACTTTCATAGATAGTTAACAGTTAATAAACCAACGTTAATACACATTTAAAAATGAAGACACACTAAATAAAACAATTCACACTTAACTCCTCGCGTTCCTGACAAAAAACATTAAATAAGTACATATGTACCGTATATACATTTTGCTTTTTTTAAATAATTTATGCCTGCAAGCTATCTGGCCTAAGCCAAATCTTATATTTTCTTAAAACATATTTTTTTATAAAAAATGAAACGAATTAAATGAAATCTATTTGATTAATTTAAAAACTTTAATTAATTAGACTATGGCTAATTGGTCTGTGTAGTAACTAACTCTGGTACTGAGCTCGCCTATGACTTCGTTTACAGCTAGGTTGAGAGGCGCGGTGAGCTTAATCATAATTTCCTCATTCCATCTTAACGGACGTGAGTAGCCTCCAGCCCAGCGTACAAGGTTTATCTGGGCACTGTATCAACTTAAAAAAAAAAACCATTTTGGTATTTTTTCTTTTTTAGTTTTTATTATTTTGAAGTAACCACTTAAGCTTGACTGCGCAACTAAAGCAACAAAAAACAACATAGCATTTTATTATAAAACTTGTTGATTACGCTACAATCTGTTTGTCGTTCCAAGTGAAAAAATAAAGTACTAAACAATCTATGACTGCTTTTATCTAATTTAACGGGACGTTTTTGGTGGGAATGTGAAGAGCGAAATCGTTTCATTTTGTTAATTTAGTGTTTCTTCAGGTTTAAATGTGTAAAAACAGTGGTTTCTTAACTGCTTGGCATCTCTGAAAGTGCACAAATGTGGCAAAATGAAACAAATCAGTTAAAAGAAACTTCCCGGATTCTCGCAAAATGCTCACTGAAAAAGCCACAATAAATAACCACCACTTTATGGAGACTATATTTCATACCAACTCATCTCATTTCATTATTTTTCCCCCAACTGATTAAAGTCTTAAATTAATATTTTTTTACATTATAATATAATGGAAGAAGAAAATAAAAGGTTTGCCTTAAAGGTCTCTTTACCAGGCCATAACATCTTCATAAAAATAAATGTAATACAACTCACTTCACTTTGATTCAGTTTTTCTCCAAATCTCGAGCTTTCGGGAAGCTAATTGTGCTCGATAGTAGTGCGTTATGTCGGACAAATAATTTATTTATGATTTTTGTTATTTTATTTTTTACTCTACGTAACTCACGTTAGAGAAACGTATTTTTTGGACAAGCTCTAATTATAATATGCTAATAAAATTGAATCTAATCATTTCATTGTGAAAAATAAGGATAAAAGATGGCTGATCGCGGAAGTTTTTTGCGACGATTTCTATCTGCCTTGTTTTTTCTATTGGTGTTAGTAGAACATGTAAGTATTACATATAAAATTTAAATTTTGAACGATTTACATTTTTGTAACTAATTAGAACATAGCACTTTATTTGATGGTCCCTTAGCAAATTACTTTCATCTTTGATTTTACATAGCATTGTTCACTTATTAATCTGCATAAAAATATATTTCGTATTTGTTTTCTATTCGCTCATTTACTTAATTTATGCCTTCCAAGAATCCCAACTATTCACGTACATAATCGAATTATAGAAGATTTTTACAATTAGAGGAAAGTAATACTATAAAACTTAATCTATTCATTGGTATGGCAGAAGTATCTGCCGTGCTTAATTGTGTTTTATGCACTGAAATAAGTTTAAAATAAGCTTTAAAATTGCACTGTTAACAGTGACTAGTGAGAGTTAACTGGATCGTAAAAACGTCAACTACTTAAAGGGGGTAGGTTATTTGGAGCCATGTTAGAAATAATAAAAAAAAACGAGTTTCTATTGTAATCATTTTAATCTTGTACACTAATGTGTTTTAACATTAAGCCAATATTTAAAATATGAATGTTACTGGTAGGGTGTATTGTAAGCTCTAGTTAACCAGAGGTGTGTTATGAACTTGTTCCCCCTTGAGCTAAAAAAAACACTATAGCCATTTTCTTTTTCAGTTTTACCACATACTAAAAAGCCCTGAAATAAATTAAATAATAAAATTATATGTGTTACAAACACAAAATGAAAATAATTAATGCTACATATTTTTTTTTATAAAAAAGTATGTTTTGTAGCATAAATAGCATTCTGTTACCTAAACAGCAACCATGTTACATTTGTCACAATTTTGTACTATCTGTGATTGATTGATCCAGTAAGGATTGTTTCATTGATTGATTTAATTAAAAAAAAGAGGGTTTTGCAAAATTGTTAAATTTATCTAAAATTGAGTAAGGTTCTTCTTGATTCTTTGTATTTGAGTGACAGCTGTGTCAAGTTCATGTAGTGCAAGTATTAGAGAAGTCAAGACTTACTTTGGGTTACTGAGAATCCAAAATATGAATGAAATATTTTCACTGAAGTAAAATTAAGCATTAGGCCAGAAATATAAAACCCAACATGTTGTTGATAGCAGTAACATATTATCTTGAAAACATTGACAATGCAATAAAAAATTTCTACACGACGTCTCCAGGTAGTTAAGTAGTGGTATTCTTTTTATTTCTTTTTTATTGCCCTTGTAGGCAGACGAGCATACGGCCCACCTGATGGTGAGTGGTTACTGTCGCCCGTGGACTTCAGCAATGCGAGGGGCAGAGCCAAGCCACTGCCTACCAGCATATTTACATATCGGCCTACTGTCACTGTCATATTTATTTGATCATGCTTTTGGTTGTGGGCCCTTCAACAAAAACTAATCTAGCAACAAAAGCTAGTCTTTGTTGCCATGTTGCTATGATTCTGATAGTTGAATGAGCTACTTGATTCCTGATTCATAACCATTATAAGCCATAAATACGACAATTAAGACTAATTTAAATCAATAACCTAGCAATAGAGCAATTGTGCTCTGTGACTATTTGTTGCATTCATTGTCCAATAAAACCTATGGTTGATATTTATTAAGTAAATGGAAGACAGAACTGGTGCATAATATTGATACTGTTTTATTTATTTTCATGTAAAGTATGAGCATAATGGTAGATAGGATTTTACGAGCACTCCGAATTCCTCTAGAGGGGCCACTTTTTTGCATTTGAATATCTAATGATCAGTCTCATCAACCTACATTGGACATAATAGATAGCACTGTTTATTGCTGTTGTTGTTTAATTGATTGGCTGAGATACTATTTGAAGCTGTAGTCTTTGAACTATTTGAACAGGAAGGGCAATAGAAGCATAGGCAAGATTTTACTTCACATTACAAGGAACATTACTCTGTGTCACCACACACTGCCACCCGGAACTTTAAATTTGATATAAGCCTTAAATATGATTGAAGATTTTTTTCTATTTTACCAGCACACACACAGTCCCCTACTGAACATAGGCCTTCCATTAGGCTTGGCTAACTCATGTGTATATTATTTCTTAATACACTATAAAAACATTTGGTATGCCAGATGCATTGGAAAGAATTTGAAGGTTCATATCTTAGTGTGTCATCAGTGATATCATGCGATGGTATATTAACCAGTTTCCTCCTATTGTAAACAAGGCTGTACCAAAGAAAAAATTAAATGAAGGGTTTATTTATAGTTTGAGATGTCATTTAATAAATAAATAATATTGGATAACGATATATATGTAATTAAATCTAAATTACTTAAAAAATATATAGAAAGCTCCACCTTAAGGTATATAGTATTTATTAGGTGGTTTATGAAGATACAAATATGATGATGTTGACTTTTAAAAAACCTTTGAAAATATTACCTTTATGGTTAATGTAATATGTGAACGTGAACCTATGTGAGTGTGAATGTATGTGAACGAGTGTAAATATGGATCACAACACATATAGAACAGGATACTAAAATTTGCACATAAAACGCAACTTTTTATTTTATTTTATTGCATTTTGCATTGCATATTGGTTATTTCACTTTTCCTTCGCGACGGAACTAGGCAGAATGATGGGCCCAAACCGTGCGGCCTTATAGTACGCTCTTGCACTAGTATATTTTGATTTTCGATTCTTTCCTTTTTTTTTCTTTTTTTTTTTGGTCAGGAGGAAATCGCCGGACTTCCGCCCTCCACTGGGGATAAAGGGCGGAGCATGTCAGAGTCGAACTGACTAAAACCTCCTGTCGCTCAACAACCAACGTCCAAACCTCGCATGAGACAGAACTCATGAAGAGGCAAAGGGATGAAAGTGAAGCGTTTAGTGCGGAGCACATCTCTCCCATCACCCTACCCCTCGAGACGCCAGACCGGCGGTCGTCGGCGCCACGACCACCAGCCCTCTCGGTCGGCACGCACGATTCTTTCCTTAACAGTTTTAGTGCTGAGTTTACTTTCGCATATTTTGCAAAAATTGCTGCAGGAATGCTATGCTAAATAAGTACCTTATAAAAAACTTTTAATTTAAAAACGTCATACATGAGCGCGCTAAGATATGTCCCATACACGTCGATAACTATAACCAAACTACGCAATAGTCGGTATTCCGACTCTCCGCACGTTATACGCATTAATAGAGGTTGGATCTATCGACGCTTTGCGCTCTAAGGGTTAAAAAATTACAACCTGCTTACGAGAGTTGAACACGGCCATAATCGAATCGCTTGATAAGAGTACTCCAGTTATATAATAAAAGGAAAAAATCATTTGTGAAAAATTTGGTCCTGTTCTTCAAGCCATGTCAAGATATAGCGGTTTTCAGAGACACACAGTTGAAAAACTAAGAAAAATGTGGTGTGGTGTTTAAAATGGCATTGAAAATATGTGAACATAAATTCCAATATGGCAGCCTTTGTAAACTACCTACTTATTTAAAGTAAGTAATTTACAATGGCTGCTAATGAAAAACTAGAATGTAGCTAATTAGTTCTATAAATAAGTAGTGTCTTAACTGCTGTTTAACTTTATAATAGTATTTCCACGTTATTCTCAGATGATTTACGAATGTGTTAGTCATTGACGAACAGGAAATGTTAAAAGACCGTGAATTAATTCATTTTAAAGAAATACTGCAAGATGAATAATGTCAAAGGAAAAAACGGTTCTTGTAGGGAGCAAATTCAACAGAATTTGTATGATATAGTAAACAAATGACCAGCGTTTTTGTTTTGTGACTCACTCACTGCAATCAATGCTAACAATAATTTACAAACGCTACACATTGACGCATTCAAAATTGAAGTGTTTCCTAAAACAATAATATTTTATAAATAGCTACCTACCTACGTCTGAAGTTTTTATATTTCTCAAATTCGTTGTCGTATATTATAAATCAAGCCGAAAGATGTTATAATAACACTTCACGAATTACGGATAGTTCAATTCTTATTAATTCGAAGCAAAACTGTTTGAATGTTAGAAAAAATGTTTGAATATTTTATTAGAATGGCTGTTGTAATTGTTTTGCATTTCTTTGAGGAAAGAGGCTTAAGTAAAACATTGTTGAAGTACATAATTATGTTTTCCATAGTGATGACGACGACAACGTTGAGAGTGTTGACCTGAAGGCGTTTCGGTATATCGATATAACATTCACGGGTCACTGCTCCGTGTTTTCAGGTGTTGTTACTATTTCGTTTATGAAAATTCAGTTCCAATCTTCACGGTATCTTACCTGTGTTGTTGAACTCTATCCCTTCTTTTTAAATTAAGGGCAAACAATACTAGGATCCGGATGTTGTATAATTTTTTTAAAATATAAACTCTAGAAATGACGGTAGAATTGAAAAACAATACAGACAACATTTAAATGATCCCTAAAAATGAGGCATTCGTAGAAGAATTAGTATTGACCTTTTATCCTGGAATGTTTAAAAAATGTCTTTCGTAAATTTCGTAATCCGTAAAAACTATTTTGTAATTCAAACTGTATTTTCTTTTCTCCTACCTATTCGAAGGGTCATGCTAGATACACCGAACGAGATTTGCATTTCATAATTAAAATTATTATATTTTAAATGAAATAAATACGATATTTTATAAGGTTGAGCAACCTTTTTAATCTATGGGCCAATTTTAATTTTAATATTTTTTGGCGGGCCGCACTTCTATTAATATATAATTTACGAAACTTTATATACAATAAATATTGAATAAAAAATATAAAACAAAAAAAAAGTAAAGATTTCATATACTTACTATACAAATTTTTATGAAAAATAAAAACAAGGAAATAACAAAAACGAATTGGTGGGAGAAATTCGATAAAATAAATTCAATTTTAGAAATGCCTGGTGGGCCGCGTCTTGCTCATCCTTGATATTATACATTTATTTTGGGTGTAATACATAATATGTAGATCTTTTGTTTTTTGTTTGGTCCTGTTTTTTACTGTCCAAATTTGCCGTTATATTGTTTGCGTCAGAAGCCTACATTAAAACGGGTCAAAGTATGCCTAAACAATTTTGTTACATATTTAAACAACATAGAATAATTCAACTGAAATGACCTATCTGTAATAAAATGATAAAATTATTATAATGCTTCAACAGTGGTACAAAAAATTATAAGATTCGACATGCATTCATTCGTTCGTTTTTTTTTCTTCTGTATATTTTTTTTCTAATATTTTCTATTTCTCGTAGCAAGTGGCTGTAGGATTTATGTTACTCCTGCACTAATCTCGTGCCAATGAAACCCATTTAATTAAACTTGGAGATACTACTAGAAGGAGATAGAAGAATTGGACTATCTAATTTAAAAGCATTTTGACCGCAAGATGAATAAATGTAGTTGAAAAAGTTTTGCAGCTTGGCAACGCCGATGAAAATGATTCCGTTAAAAAATGGTTCCGTTTAAAGATTCCGTTAGTTATGCAGAGCCCATGGACATGACACGAAGGCCACCCCACCTTGAAGCAGGAAGACGAAATTTCAATTGTATTGCGTAACTGCTATGCAACACTCCGTGCCGGATTGCATGACTGCATCGCTCCAGATATAGTCAGCATATCGGTACAATATGGTGCGGACTTACAATAAGCCCAGTTAAGCCCTACCACATTTCTGACGGTTTCATAGCTTTTCCATTAAACTAGTGGTCGCCCGGTAGTCAAATTTCGACTATAATTATTAATTTAAATCAAAAGTTTGAACATTATTTTGGTTTTATTGTCAAAGACTATATTACACTTCTATAATCACAGGTTTCGCTAAGGCTACACTATAGACAAATGATATTAAATAAATCAATATTAATCTAGTCTCAACTTGACCGCAGTCTTTAACAATAAACAAAATACATAGTATGAATGCGTGAGTGTGTGTGTCAAATACATGTTAGTGTGTGTAATGTTTTCTATATTGGTTTAATGTATTTTTTATGCATTATTTAAAAAAAAAACTAGCATTTTGCACTCCTTCTCTATACTCTCTATAAGTGTGGGACATTTCATACTCCTCCGTCCGCGCAATTTTCGTAAAAAGGGATACAAAGTTCTTGCTTCACGTATTAATATATAGATATGTTTTAAATGGAAATTAAATCCGAGTCATTTGGCGGCAGTCACTATGCTGTATGTTCAAGTTTGGCACGAATTATGTCAACAGAGAGAACCGAACGGATTGATTGGGCGCAAGTAATAACAATAACGATTCTTAAATATGTGGTTTCTTGAATTTGTGTTGATGATAATGTTCCAATTTTTGGATCTTCTATGTTTGTTAGTAGTACAAGATTTAGCTTAATTTGAAAACTAAACTATATCTGGGATTTTTAAGTTGCAATTCATCAAGTAGGCGTTTGTAAAAAAATTCTTTATTCATCTCACTGTGATAATCGACAGTAGCGTCCGTAGATTTAGGTTGACCTTAAAAATGCCCTGCGTTTCAGACCAATGTATTTTTTTTTCTACCTAATCGTTGTTAGCTTAAGCGGCTACTCCAACTAGGTAGATGAGCTTACAGAGATCAAACCTGGGAGGACTTCCTAACAATAGACTAACTTCTAACTATACTGAGATCTTAGAACTTATATCTCAAGGTGGGTGGCGCATTTACGTTGTAGATGTCTATGGGCTCCAGTAACCACTTAACACCAGGTGGGCTGTGAGATCGTCCACCCATCTAAGCAATAAAATAAAATAAAAAAACAATAGCCCTAGCAATAGCAGTGCTTCGCTGAATCTACCACCGGATCGGAATCGTAACACACTCAGAAGATCCGGCGAGAAACTCAGTTCGTTGTGTCTATAGGAGAACGTAATATTACAAAGCGCTTCATTTGAAATTGAGCTACATAAATTCTTTTTTTTTATTTTTTTACATAAATTCTTTTTTTTTATTTTTTTCCATTGCCCTTCTAGGCAGACGAGCACACGGCCCACCTGATGGTGAGTGGTTACCGTCGCCCATGGACTTCAGCAATGTCAGGGGCAGAGCCAAGCCGCTGCCTACCGCTTAATACTTTCCACAAGCCTCGTTTGAAGAAAAACATGTCATAGCACTCGGGAAACACCGTGGAGGGGAGCTCATTCCATAGCCGGATGGTACGTGGCAAAAAAGACCTCTGGAACCGCACTGTGGATGACCGCAGTGGCTCCAGGTAGTACGGATGAACTCTACTCCGGTGGCGGGCGGTGCGATGGTAAAAACGAGATGCCGGTATCATCTCGAACAATTCCTCAGAGCACTCCGGGCGTGTCGGGTTTGGACGGGAAGCGGATGCGGCCGGTGCCGGGTCTGGTCGATGTTCGTGCGCTATGTTTGTTTTAGCGAGTTAGTATCTATATATTAATACGTGAAGCAAAATCTTTGTATCCCTTTTTACGAAAATTGCGCGGACGGAGGAGTATGAAATTTTCCACACTTATAGAGAATATAGAGAAGAAGTGCACAAAGCTAATTTTTTTTTTAAATAATGCATAAAAGATACATTAAATCAATAAAGAAAACATTACACACACTACATACCATGTATTTGACGCACACAAGCATGCATACTATTTATTGTCAAACTTTTGTTCTTGATGTCTGTTGTCAAATTGAGAATAGAATATGGTTTGTCTTTGTTAATATTTTTTATAGTGTAGTCTTGGGGAAATTTGTGATTATAGAAGTATAAAATACAATCATAATAGTGTACAAACTTACAATTCCAATTAATTATAGTCGAATTTCGACTACTGCGGGACCACTAGTTTTAATGTAATGTAAATAAAAAATTGTATTCTGTTTGTTGCCTTCCAGATCCCGTCTGCTCTAGCCGAAGATGGTCACTGCATATGGTACGGCGTTTGTGCGAACAGCACAGAACATAAAATGATGAATTGTTTCTATGATGGACCCGCTAAACCGATCGAAGAAAAGGCAATGGTGAGTACTAAGTTATGTACGTTTTAATGCTACGAAAAGGAGTTGTGAAATGTTTCTATCCAATCAGAAACGGTCATACTAATAAATAATTGTACTATGATTGTATTACTACAGATAAGACTGCCACTAAAGTTTGTTTCACCGAAATCTAAAATCTTTATTTTAAACCACGAAATTTTTTAATTTATTTATGGTAACTACTAAATAATAATATACCTAAATATAAAGTAATAAAAGCAAGTAAAAACTTGTAAAAAACAAGTTTCCATCACATGTTTGAAGAAAATAAACACAAGCTTGTAAATTTACAAACATACGTAGAGAAAATAATCATATTATTATGATGATACACTACGAGTATTCTAAGGATGATTTGACTAATTAAATTTTCTTTGACAAGTAAAAAAACACCTCTATTTACGTCTTAATCGTCTAATTGTTATTAAAGATAAAGAAAATATCCACTTAGGCAAATTTAGAGATCCTGTTCAAATTTAATTGGTTTTTTTTTTCTTAACATCTTGAAGGCCGTGGCGTTCACCATTAATCACCAGCTATCGTAATAATACTACATACTATCGTAATAATAACCATCAATCCAATTAATCTCGTATAAGATCACAATGCGATATTATTATGCATTTTTTGAATTATTTTTTTGTTGAAAGATAAAAAAATCTGTAGTTGTTTCACTACATATATTTCTATAACGTATTTTAGTGGTGGTAAGCAGATGAAGTAAAATTAACACTTTCAACCAAGATCGAAGGCTTAATTGCAAATTTGTGTTGGTTGTGAACACATCCTACCACCAGTTTGGTTAAAGTACTTAACTGAGTACAAAAAAAAGACCGGCTATTCATTAATTTTAATTATTAGTTTTGTGTGTACACGTTAGTAGAAGTCGGCCCATGTCAATATTACTAATGAGTGTTGGTATACTCAAACTATATAAAAACATGACTCCATCAGTTTTCTGACGGAATGGTTCGTTTAATGTAACAAGATCAAATTGGTAAAACAACGGCACAAACAACAAAGCAGAAGTAAAGAAGTAAAGCAAAACAGGTTGCCAATGTCTAGACAGACCAGAACGACACTAATAATTATAAAGTTATTATCTGTTTGAGTCTCGGGTGTTTCTGATATTTGTCAACCGTAGTATGGATTCCGTTGAAAGAATGATTTTATTCGTCTAGTGGTTTTCGTCGCCCATTGGTATCGACAATACCTGGGGAAAAGCCCTCGTCAGTCATCTCTCGACGAACGTTACATCGTATGGAACTCAGTGAAATCAGTTGGCGCTTGAAATTTGAATTTACGTGTCGCTCAAGTCCTATACAAACGACAACCCTTTTGGGCTTTGTAGGAATTTATGCGAAGCGTATTTCCCTCTTTTGGGAATGTTCAGTTTCAAGATTGAGTACTTATTAGCTGCACGTACGTGCCATTGTAAGTTTTTTCAATAGTTAATGATGCAAAGGTCTTTTTTTTTCGTACTATGATTTAAGTATATACAATAGTCGGTAAATGTCTATTTTACCTTGTGTTTTTAGCGTGTTTTTTTTTTCGTGAGTTTTTAGCCTCAATGAAATCTATAAATATATTAATGTAAGTAAATAAAAACTAAATAAATAAAATAAACCGAAAAATATTGCGTATTTACTAGTGGTAAAACGTATTGTGTCTACTGTGAGTCCCTCCACGCGTACCTACGTAGGGAAGGTGCTTACATATTTCGGTCATGCTATCAACTCATGCATTCCTACTTTAAGGGCTTAACATAACCCTCTTATCGTGGCCATCGCTAACTACATATCCGACCCAGGCAACGGGGCAAAGCAAAGCCGCCGTCGTCCAAAACATGTCTTGTCGGTTCCTCCGATCCATTCTCGGTGCTTTTAGGCTCTTCAAGCACCAGTCAACGTCCTCATCGAACTCGTGGACTCCGAATAAGAGTTCGACATGCGAACCAGCCCACAGACACAACCCACTGAGTTTCTCGCGGGATCCTCTCAGTGGGTTGCGATTACGATCCGGTAGTAGATTCAGCGAAGCACTGCTCTTGCTAGGGCTAGTGTTAGCAATTCTCTCAGGTTGAACCCATGAGTTCACCTACCGGTCCGTGTGAAGTTGATTAACCCCTTAGGCTATCAACGATTAGGAAAAAAGGCTGAAGAGTCTTTGTGTTGTTATGTAGGCGTTCACGTCCATGGGTTCTGGCATACATATGATCAGAAGGGCCATTAGTTTGTTCGTTTACCCATTTAAAGAAAGAAATAAAGAATACGGTAATTTAAAATTTTTCGACGTTTGAAAGTGGTTTTCGTGAAATTTTAAAATCAGTTGTGACTTCGTTTGCTGGATAGCGCTCCACGCACGTAGTGTATCTGATTGAATTAAAACTTTTTGAAATTTATTTTGGCAATCCGTGTCAAACTCACAGACGGATTGTGCGCCGTATTTCAAGTGAATACAAATAAAATCAAGCAAAATCAAACAACAACTTATTAAACATATTAATTCTGAAACCGGTTCCAAAAAGAGTCACAGTTTCTGAGAAGAAAATAATCTCAGAAGGCTTGTCTTTTTGTTGATATTTTAAATACTAATAAGCTGTTATGTTCATAAAACACAATGTCAAAGAATTTGACTTTACTATTAAATTAATCAAGACTTAAAATGAATAATGCGTCTTAACGACAACCTTATCATATTGTCCTTGTCATAATGCAATTTTGTTGCTAATCAGGCCCGGGTGAAAGTTGCACTATTAAATTGATTAGTACATTATTTTGACGGCTTTTTTAAATCATTACTTAACAAAGGTATCACCGTCAGTTCATGCGTATTCCTTATGTATGTATATCTATGTTGGAGTAAAGCTATTCCCACTGTCATCAGCAGGCATAGATTAATTTTTTGTAGACATTTCAGACAATTAGAAGTACAATAAATTACTTACTAGCGATTTGAATATTTCGCAAACTTTTATTTTATTATTTTTACTACAACTTACTAACGATCGTAATGTGAAATTATAAATTAGAACTTATTATCATTGTTATTGTGCAACAGATTCAACCATTTACCTAGGACACCTCTTTACTGAACCAACCGGAAGAACCCGAGTCACTGGGTTTCGAGACCAATCACCGTAATACTGATTCAAACTCATTCAAAGCCAGAGTCGCCTTTTCCATGCATCTGGTCTGTCTACGTGATCATTCCAGTTTGTTCATTATTAAACAATTTCAGTTGATGTGTCATGTTTAAGTCGTTTTAACTTTATTACAAAGTAAGTAACTAAGTCTTGCTATTACATATGCCGTTGCAATACCTACAAATAAAATTATTTCAATTTTGAATGAAATAGCTTAAAATCGATGTTAAATAAATCATACTCGAAGTGAATTTTTATAACGCCCTGCGTGTACAGTATAACGGTGCATTTAGGATGCTGATGAGGCTGCCTCGATTCTGCAGCGCATCGGGCATGTTTGCGGAGGCGCGCACCGACGATTTCTATGCCATATTAAGAAAGCGATGCGCGTCCTTGCTCTGCAGGGTAGGGGCTAGCTCCAACAGCATCCTGGCCATGATATTCTCTAGGTTAGATGGACCTTTTCTGAATCATTGCAGAGAGGTCCACAAAATTTTCTCGTAATGCAGCTATTGCAATCGTATGTAGTATGTATGTTGTTGTTTTCTTTTATTACTGTGTCTTTACTAACTTATTTTTAAGAAATAACTGTTACTAACATTTATATGGATTATTATCTGAAATAAAGAATTTAATAATAATAATATATTATATGTTCTTGTTTACCTGTTTACAATATTGAATACAAATTTGAATATGTTGTAATCGTTTTTCGAACTATATTCGAAAGCTTCTCTGGAATAATTGGTTATAGTTATGTGAAATGTAATTAACACTTTATTTTTGTAGTGGTGATAAATCTTTCAAACGTCGTAGGCTAATTAATAGGTATGACGTTTGATGTTAATGTATAAAGTTATACATAACATTGCGTTCACGAATGACTTCCTTGAAGGAAGAAGGCCTTATTCACACCTTGTAATAGAATTAAATAAAAAAATGTACTGCGGTTTCACCTTTGGAAAATTTTGTTAGAATTAAATTAAGAAATAGGGCTAGCTCCACGTTAACTTAGCTACAAGAGTATACTGTATGCAAGAATAGGGGTGGTCGCATTCTTGGTAAGGATCACAGTAACCTGTCAACGCTAAACTTAAAGTTGCCCGCAGGCGGGTATCAATTTTTCTAATAAAATACGTATTTAATAAAATATGTTCACGATTGACTTCCACGGTGAAGGAATAACATCGTGTAATAAAAATGAAATTCGCAAAATTATAATTTGCGTAATTACTTACTGGTGGTAGGTTTTCTTGTGAGTCCGCACGGGTAGGTACCACCACCCTGCCTATTTCTGCCGTGAAGCAGTATTGCGTTTCGGTTTGAAGGCTGGGGTAGTCGTTGTAACTATACCTTAGAACTCATATCTCAAGGTGGGCGGTGCCATTTACGTTGTAGATGTCCAAGGACTCTGGTAACCACTTAACGCCAAGTGGGCTGTGAGCTCTTTCACCCATCTAAGCAATAAAAATAAAAAAATGGCTTCTGAGTTCAACGACCAATATAAAACATCGAATTCTTTAGGTCCCATCCTATATTTAGTTTAGCGAAAAAAATTATCATCTATGTATATGGAATTTTAATCGTGAAACTTCATCTTGACTACGGAAGGAGCCCTCCGTTTTGTGTAAATAAACTGGGTTAAGTATAGCACAGCGTACAGCTTGATGTTCATTACGAGTACTCACGGTTAGGCACGGCGCTCAGTGTACTGCTTATTAGATATTCACCTGGGATTAGCAAATAGCAAGATAGGGAAGGTTAATTTAATATAAAGACTAAGAACACTACGAAGATAAGACACGCACCACCAAGTGGTCAGACTAGATGTTCATCT